CCACGGAGAGTGGAAGAACTGAGACCCCAAACTCATTGCCAGGCAATTGGCACCCGTTCACTGAAGGGTTTCTGTGGCAGCCCCTCTTCTGGGGGCTACAGATTCAGAAACACAAGGTGCTCACAGCCTGGTGCCTGAGACAAAATGCAAATCAGTCAACATGAAACTGTTTACAGATCATATTTTAGAAGACTATAGGCAAGAGTAGGGATCCGTGAGAAGCTATATAAACCTTTCTTAGAAAAGACCAGTTTATGCTGAGTCTTGATGGGTAAACAAAAATTGGTGAAGCAGAGAATTAAATGCTGTGCAAAGGCCTGCAGGAATACAAAATTAAATACGATTTAATCCCTGTGGTCAGAGTTCTCAGCCTTGTCTTAGACAAGAATTGCCTACATTTTTTAAAAAGAATACTGTACCTGCCACACAGTAGGTACTCAACGAATAGTTTGAATGTGTGAATGAAATGTGACAAATTACCACCAGGGACTATACATAATTTCTTTGGGAGCACAAAGAGAGCAACTAATTTTGCTTGGAATTAACTAGAGACAAGTTAGGACATTTGAGTTGGTCCTTGACAGAGGAAGAGGAGTTTGTCTTGCTAATAAGGGAGGGCCGGGCATTTCAGACAAAGAGAAAGTTATAAACAAAGGCTTAAACATCTGCTCAGGTCTCACAAGTGACCTTAGGTAGCTAGAGCCAAGGCTCATGGCTGTGATTTTGAAGGTGAAGCTGGAGAGATGTTTTGGAACCAGGATACCCCAGCCTCTTGGGTCACGCTGGAGTCCTGGGACCACATTTGGGAGGAATGTGCAGCCACTGCTGGTACAGGCTCTGCAGGGGCAGGGAGTGGATATTCAGGCATTTACTAGTTATTGTGCTGAGCACTGTCGCAGTCTTCTGTTAACAAAAAGGACATGTCCCTGCCTGCATAGCGTTTGCATCGAGTTTGGGAAAGAAACAATGCAAAAATGCAAGAAGCATACATAATATAATATCACGTACTGCTAAGTGTAAAGAAAAATGCAGATATCACAGGGTAAGAAATACTAGTGAGTAATGGAGAGTTGCTTCAAGTGAGGTCAGGAAAGGTGCACTGGTCTGACATTTGAGTAAAGAACTGAATGAAGTATGGAAACGTAAGTATAGGAAAGTTCCTTCACTAAAGGAATTAGGAGACCTGAGTTCTAGCCTCTGCTTAAGCACTTTCCAACTGAGTGGTTTGCAAAATTATTTTAAATCCCATGGACCTCCATCTGCTGTTATAGGCAGAAGAACATAGGAGTCTTTCACAAAGTAGTTGTTCAATAAGTATGTTAGGTGACTGAATATAGTAGTTACCAATTACATTTTGAATAAGCACATTGTTTTCATCTTGTAAAGTCCCAAGTTAAGAACACCTCTAAATTTTTAAGATTTTATGTATTTTTTAGACAGAGAGGTAGGGAAGGAGAGAAACATTGCTGTGTAACAGAAACAGTGATTAAGTTGCCTCTCGCCTGCCCCCAGCCAGGGGCCTGGCCCACAACACAGGCATGTGCCCTGATCGGGAACCCACTGGTGACCTTTTAGTTCATGGGCCAACACTCAACCCGCTAAGCCACACCTACCAGGGTGAACACCGCTAGACTTTGTAAGTATTTACTTACCAGGGACGGATGGTCCTAAACTATCAGCCAAGACTGTGGTACTCCTAGTGAACAGTCACCATTAGCAGATCCCTGGAGGAACATTTTAATGAGAAATATTTTTCCTTTTGAATATTTGAAATATTACGATAACAGTCCTTACAGAGTTGTTGAGGATAAAAAGCTTGTAAAGAACCAAGCTTGCACATAGTATGTGCTCAAGAAATGTTATTTTTCCTCCCTTGCCCGGCAATTTTAAATTTATGTCTTCCTTCTCCCTCCTGTATAACCAGGTGGGTGCACCTTTGGTGCTGTGTGTGAATTGATGAACTCACATGTAAACCTGGTTTACATGTGTGGCTTATACGGTCAGAATACTACAGCATCCTGGTCAGCTTCTTTGCTACACTTTGTCCTATTTCTTTTTCCCTTTGTTCTCAGATACCCTAGTCTGCTTTCTGCTTGATTCATTACTTCTCAATTCCTGGCCATTCCTCGCCTGCACAGCAATTTGTTCCCTGGAGACCAAAGTTCCAAATAAGACTCCAGACTGAAATGGATTTTCACCATTTCCTAAGCACGCTGGCCCTATTCTATGTCATCACCTCAAGCTCATCCACCAAAGTGTCCTGTTTGTAATGCTACTACAATTCTGCCAGATTATTGCCTATACTTCAAAGCCCAGTCAAATCTGTTTGCCAAAAGAATGTTCCCTGCTCAGAAAGACTCAGGTAGTATTAACTGCCTATTTCATTCATTGAATTCTGTGCTATACAAAATAAATTATTCTTGTATATAAATATGCCACATTTCCCTACCTTGCTCTTGTCAATTCCCTGAAAGTAAGAATTGGGTTTCATGTCACTATGTTTCCTGGTGGCCCCCTGGCACTTGATGTGCCTGCCTATTCAGTGGACCCTGAATAAACATCTCTAGGATGAATGAATGTGCACAACCCTGTGACTTCACTTAGAACTGGGAACCACCTGCAGCAAGGCTTGGAAGTACTTCGGGGGTTAGACGTGTCTGGCAACTCAAGCGTTTCTACCACCTCTATCATACGTTAATCTCCAGTGATGTCAGGAATTAGTCTAATAAGCAGATCTACAGACCAGGAGAAAAGCTTTGGCTAAAGATCCATATCTGAGTTATGAGAGTAGAAAAATGGGGAGAAATAGTGAATACAGTATGAGGAGAGAGCTGGAGCAACAATGGTATTTAAGGAGCATAAATATTTAAGTTTATGAGGAGTGTAAAATTATACCCAAGGGGGTAGGAGATAAACCAAGGAGCAGTGTTGACTTGGAAAATGGAAACTTTCAAGAAAGAGGGGAAGTTCAATAGTCCCAAAATCTATGCAAAGGTAAATTTAAGATTGTAAATTGTCGCCCTTTCCTATGCCCTTTTAAGGTTGATTCAGTGCCTTAGGGGGCTACCACAGAAGGGTAAAGTAAGTCTCCGTAAAACCCTGAGAAGAGATGGTAAAACTTCTCTTTGGATCCTGTCTGGAGTCACAGCTCAAAAAAGAAAAAAAAAAAAAGAAGACTATAAATTGTTTATTAGTCTTAGTTAACACAGAGGCACCATGGTGACCTTGACAGAAAAGTATAGGCAATGAACAAAGATAAATGACCTGATATCAAGGATTAATATAAAGGTCTAGTAATCAAGACGGCAGGAATTGAATAGACCTATAGCTCAATGGAAGGAACAGGGTTCAGCAACAGCAACGGACCCACAATTACAGTCAACTGATTTTCAATGAAGGAGCCAAGGCCATTCAATGAGGGAAAAGAGATGTCTTTTCAACAAATTGTGGTGGCATACCCGGACATTTGCATAGAAAAAAAAAATGTTCCTCAATTCTTACCTTACATTATATGCAAAAACTAACTTGCAATGAATCACAGACCCAAACATTAAAGGTAAAAAACCATTACACCTATAGAAGAAAACAGAAAAATAGTTGGGACATTGGGTTAGACAAAAATATATTAAATAACACACAAAAACAGCACACTGCACACAAACATGAACACAATACACTTAAAAGCTAAAAATGTTTTGCCCTTTAAAAGACAGTTAAAATAAAAAGATGAGCCAGATTTGGGGAAAATACTTGCAAAAACACTTATCTGACACAGGGCTGATATCTAGACATAAATAAAGAACACTTACAATTTTGTAATAAGACAAACAACCCAACTGAAAAACTGGCATAAAGATAAAAAGGGAATTTCAAAAAGGACAACAAACTAATGGCAAATAGGTGCCTAAGATACTCAGTCTCACCAGTTACCAAGCAAATGCAAATAAAGCCATGAGGAGATGCGGCTTTATTTACACAACTACTAGAATAGCTAAAATGAAAAAGATGGGCAATATTAAGTTTTGGTGATGACATTTCAACGTAAGTAAAACTCCCAACATACTGCTTTCAGGGACACAAAACGGCTCTGCCCCGCTAGAAAAAAGTGTGGCAGTATCTTAAATCACACCTATTAAACACGTCTGACTTTCAATAGTTTAGCTGGCGTCAGAGATTCAAAAGTGCTTCAACTAATGTACACTTACCAACAGTTAAAATCAAACATAACACTCACAGCTATCGTATGTCTCTAGGTATCTGTTTTCACATGAACATGCAGGGACATGGATATCCTTAAAGAGTATGACAGACCTACTTACTGATATGGAATACTTCCTCAGATACATTAATATATTGGTGCAGAACACCTCTTGAAGATTCTACTGAATACAAGAGATTAGAAACTGTGCTTGCCTCTTAGATCAAGAATTAGAGCCTGGGCATTCAGAATAGAAAGGAAATGGACTTTTTCACTATTTTTTGTACTATTTCACCCTTTCAATTAACCACATGAAAGCATTATCTTAAAAGATACATGCCATCTATGCGGATACCCACTGATTTTAAAAAATGTATCAGTTCAGTTGAGATAAGTGGGTGCCTTGAGTAGAGGACTGAGTACCTTAGTTCAGGATTCTGCCTGCACAGGATTCCATACATAGCAAGTGCTCTGCAAACACGACCTTTTTCTAAAACAAAGTGAAACTTGTTTCAAAGCACTTTCTATATCTTTAGTGGAATTCAAAAAGGAAACAAGTAAAATGACAACGTCAAAAAAAGCACAAAAATTCAAAGTATCCCAAATTTGAGTCTAATTTTACAAGGCATAATGTAGTAACTACTAGATTAATAAACCAAAATTTCATCTCCAATATTAGGAAAATCACTTCTCTGGACTTTTCTAATCTATAAAACGATGATGGCAGTGCATGTGTAGGAGTGAGGTTAAGCTATATACATTGTAGATATTAAAGAAAGCTAGGGCAGGCAAAATTCTCTACATGTTTTGTTTTTAAACCACCTTTATTATGACATAATTCGCATAGCATAGAATTTATCTTTCAAATTGCACAATTCAGAGGTTTTAGTATATTCATTTTTGAAAACCATTCCCACAATCAGTTTTAGAACACTGTTATCATCCACCCACTCATCTCAAAATCCAGCCCATTAATAGTCATTTCCCTTCTCACTACTTCATTTTCCCACCCTATCCCCCAGACCTTGGCAACCATGGGTCTACTTTCTGTTTCTATAGATTATGAATTTGCTTATTTGGAACATTTCATATAAACTGAATCATACATGTGATCTGTTGTGACTGGCCTCTTTCACTTAGCATGTTGTACTATTGATCTGTACTTCATTTCGCTTTACTGCCAATGGCATGGAGAAAGCACATTTTATCCACTCGTGAGTCGATGGGCACTCGGGCGTTTCCGCTTTTGGCTATCAGGAATGCTGCTGCTATGGACATCTGCGTACAAGTTTTCGTGTGGATATGTGTCTTCACTTCTCTCGGGTACACACCAGGGAGTGGATCTGATGCATCAAGTGGTAACTATGTTTAACCATTTGAGGAATTACTAAATTTTTTTCAAAGTGGTTCCCCTTTTTTATATTTCTACCATCAGGTTACAAGGACTCTGATTCTTCCACATCCTCACCAAGACTTATTATCTGTCTTTTTGATTCTAGCCATCCTATTAGGCATGAAATGTATCTCATTGTGGTTTTGGTTTGCAATTTTCTGATAATTAACGATGAGAATTTTTTCATGTGTTTATTGACCATTTCTACATTTTCTTTGGAGAAATGTCTATGCAGATATTTTACTGACTTTTGAGTTGTCTTATTATTGAGGTTTAAGAATTCTTTATAATTTGCAAACATTTTCTCATTTTGTGGGTTATTTCTTCATTTTCTTGATGGTATCTTCTGAAACACAATGTTTTTAGTTTTTTAAAATATTTTTTAAAGATTTTATTTACTTATCTTTAGAGGGGAAGGGAAGGAGAGGGAGAGAAACATCAACGTATGGTTGCCTCTCGTTTCCCCTGCTGGAAACTGGCCTGCAACCCAGGCACGTGCCCTGACTGGGAATCGAACGCTTATCCTTCCATGCTCAGTCCACTGAGCTACACCAGCCAGGGCTAAAGTCTTTAGTTTTTAAAATGTCATTTTTTTCTTGTTGTCTAAGCTTGTGGTGCCATATCAAAGAAATCATTTCCTAATCAAAAGTCACAAAGACTTATGTCTATGTTTTCATCTAAGAGTTTACAGTTTTAGCTCTCATACTTGGGTCTTTCATCCATTAGTTATTTTTGTATATTTCATGAGGGAGAGATCAAACTTCATTCTTTTGTATGTGGATACTTGGTTGTATCATTGGCATTTGCAGGAAGTTTCCTCGTAAGTTGTCTTGGCACTCTGGTTGAAAATCAGTTGAACATAAATGTGAGGATATTTATGGGCCCTCAGTTCTATTCCACTGATCTATATGTCTGCCTTTATGCCATGAAAACACATTCTTCATTACTGTAACTTTGTAATAAGTTTTGAAGTCAGAATTAAGGGCGAGTCCTCCCATTTCTTTAAGATTGCTTTGCCTATTCTGTGTCCTGTAAATTTCCATATGAATTTTAGAATCAGTTTGTCATTTTCTGCAAAGAAATCCACTGGAATTGATGGGGATTCTATTGACTCTATAAATTAGTTTCCATATTAATATCAAGTCTTCAGATCCATGAAGATGGAATAACTTTCCATTTATTTAAGTTTTACAAATTTCTCATTCAACAACACATAAATTTTGTACTTTTGTTAAACTTATTCCAAAGTATTTAATTACTTTTAGTGCTGTTGTAAACAGAATTTTCTTAACTTCATTTAGTATTATTTACTGAAGATGCACAGAAATACAATTTAGGTCTGTCTTTGATCTTATATCTTGAATGAGTTCACCTTGGTGAACTTGTTCATCCGACTTAGTGGTGGATTCCTTAGAATTCTCTTATATGAAAATCTCGCCATCTGCAAATAGTGACAGTTTTACTTTTTCTTTCCAATCTGATTGCCTCTAGATTTTTTGAGTGATAAATGAATTAATGTACAACTTAATACTTGGAAATGTTGAACTCAGTATTATATAGATTTATTTTCAAAACAAAAGGGAAGAAAAAAGTGCTATAGAAGAAAACCCCCCAACAAATTAGGAGGCAAGAAACCTGATTCCCACATCATTATTAATTAGCTGTGTGATCCTGAGCAAATCTCTAATCCTCTTCAGATTATACATGCTATTTTCTAAAACTTTTTGCATTTGGCATACCTGTTAACTTCTGGAGACATGTGAAGAGTAGGTTTCCTTAGTTTATTCAGCATTACAACCATAATTTTACTACATGTATGGATCATGTTCCTCCTTTTCCGTTTTTCCCCTCACAAAACAGAATAAAGTTACCAAAATGAAAGGGCATACTAAAAGTATCTTCATGTGGAGAGAAAATAGAACTCTCATAAAAGCCACAACAGAAGACACTGCAAGATTATAGGCAATTATAAAGAATTATTCTCTTGGGAGCAAGCTGAAATAGAAAAAAATACTTCAGAGAAGTGTGCATGATATGAGTAAAAATGAGCAAGTAGATAAAGCATTTACTGTCTAGTACTCTATTAACATTTTAAAGCTATAACTAAAGAAGTCAGTATCAATATACAAAATGGCAAAAGTATATTTAAAAAATATACATTGTCTACAATTTTCACTACAAGGATCATCTTTTAAAATGGAAATTTGAGGCTTTAAAAAATTATAATTTTTATTAAAATGGCAAAAATATCTCCTGACATTTGGAAGCATATTACATTTATCTGCCAAACATTAAATAGACACACTGCCTTTGCCAATGCTGATGGTACTAGAATACTAAGTTAAACATTTTAAATTTCATCTCAAGTGTTTTGGAACCTCAGTTTTAATCTCTGACATAAAGGAAGAGGGCTATCCGGACAAGTATCAGAGTCGTCTTTTTCCTTACAACATTGTAGAAAACTCAGAGAACCTTTTGCTGCCTCTGGGAAATACTTTTCTTCAGTTCCAGCTGTTTTATAAGCGGGGACACACTGTTCAGTTTCTTTAACCTGCATCAATTTGTTGGCGTCATTCTTCCTGAGATGGGCTGGTTTATGCTCCTGCTTCATTTTTTCAGTTGCGTACTCAGCTTTCCCAAACCTGGGGATACTCTCTTCATCAGAGGAGTATCTGTCAAGGCAAACACTTTTCTTCACTGCAATTTTCTGAGTGGTTTTTAAATCAACTTTTCTACTGTGACCAAAAGATGTTTTTGATGGTTCAGCTCTAACATTCGAGGTCTTTACCACCACGTTTTTGACAGAATGAGGCACAGAAGTATTCACTTTACAGTTTTCCTGAAACAGCTGGTCTCCTTCTAGAACTTCAGAGTTCCTAGATTCATTCGGCAAGTACATCCCCAGAAGATCCTTTGAAAGATGTGATGGATAATCAGAACTACTGTTAGCAATACAAGATTCTTTTACTGTGAGTAAAGTTTTCAGGTCCATATCTGGTTGTACATTCTTCTGAGGATGTGATGATTTTGTAAGTATTCGTTCTTTTAAAGGTAAATCCTGCAGATGTAAATCAGTAATGCCACAAAGTAGAAGGTCCTCAGGATTAGTCTTTTGAAGATCCGCATCCAACACTTTATCACATGACGACTGTCCTGGGATAGTTTTAAAGCTATCAGGGGTGGTTGTTTGAAGTTCTGATTTTAAACCATGAGAGCAAGAGTTTTTTGGAATAACTGAAGAGTTACTAAAAGAAGTTCCTTCCCAATCAATGGTGCTCAAGTGTAGATCATCAGCTGCCAACACATTGTGGGATGAGCTACTGGGTTGACTAGATTCTGAAATCAGAGACTTACTGACAGGTTTAATTTGCTGTGTAGCCAAAGGTCTTAAAGCAGATATGAAGTGCTCTTGTGTGTTCAAACAGAGAGCATCTGCAGATAAAGGCAAGCTATCTAATGATGCAGAAATTGATTCCTGGGGTAATGCAGAATCAGGGAAAACTTCCAAATGTAACTGGGAATTTTGTTGAGAAGAGATTTCATATGTGGGTTTTAAATTTATGAGTGACTGAAAACTCTTATCACCTGCTTCTGGCAAATTGTTTTCTTTAGGCTTAGTTTTCATGCCTGAAAAGAAAAAAATATAACATAAGTAAAATCTGTTTTATTTTACTTATCTTGAGTAAACAAACTAAAGGGTTCAAGTTGAAATCTATATAAGCAATTTTTGCGTTTTTGTGTCAGTGCATTCCTGGAAACTATGCTATAAATAGTCATAAACAATAATTACTAACAAAATATTTTTCTTTTTTTGGAAACAATGTTATAATCAAATTATTTTCCTCACCAAGTTCTGGAAAATAAAGAAAAGGTATATATAATCCAAAATACATTATATATATATTGGTTGCTCAATACATGACTAATATAATTACTATTAGCCCTGGCTGGTGTAGCTCAGTGGATCGAGCACAAGCCTGTGAACCAAACAACCATGGTTCGATTCCTAGTCAGGGCACATGCCTGGGTTGCAGGCCAGTTCCCAGCAGGGGACGCATGAGAGGCAACCATACGCTGACGTTTCTCTCCCTCTCTCCTTCCCTTCCCCTCTAAAGATAAATAAAAATCTTTAATATATTTATATATATATATATATATATAATTACTATTATTAACACTTAAGTTATCAGACACAGATTAGAAGGGTTTACTCTGGCTTTTCAGCTTTAAAAATACGTCAAGACACAGAAGTATACAATCTGACTCTTATGTAGAAATTTCAGCAAAACTTAGATAATACAGATTCAAAAATAGAACTGATAGATTTTCTACAATATCTATGTGTGGCATAAATAACTATCAAATGAGATACTTACTTTCCTTTTTCTTCCTTCTAATTTCTAACTTTTGCTTTTGGTAAACGGCAACAATCTCTGGAAAAGCTGCTTCAAATAATGATTCTTCTTCTATTGTTTGTAGAGCTAATTCTCCATTTTTATCTTCTATAGCATAATATTCTAAATGATTAAAAATATAGTAAATTGGCCTTAATTACAGATTTAAAAAATTCAATTTTTCCATCTAAGTAAGTTTACCAGGTAAACTAAGTCAGTGAATGATTCATTACAAATCTTGCTTTACAACATTTCTATTCTAATAATCTGTTGATTCTACTACAGAATTGATTTTTTTCTGCTTGAAAAATGTAGAAGATCACTTTTAAATTAGAACTTTAAAATCTCTTGCTTCAGAGACAGTAGAAGCAGCTCAGAGAATGAAAACCTTTACTTAGATCAGGTTAGTTGGTTTTAGTTTAGTATAACAACTGTCAAGATTCCAGATAACAAATTGGAATAGTTAGCTAAGATTTCAATATTAACTTTCTTTAGTGGTGGCTTCTGAACAGAACAGGACTGATAGGGCCATCAAAAATATTGCAGTTGTTCCCCTTATCCATGGGCGATACAATCCCAGATCCCAGCAAATCCCTAAAACCAGGAGTAGCACTGAACCCCACAGATACTATGTTTTTTCCTAAACACATACTTGTAATAAACTTTAATTCATAAATAGGCACAGTAAGAGATTAATAACAATAACTACTAATAAAATAGAAAAATTATAAAATACACTATATTTAAAGTTATGTGAATGTGGTCTCTTTCTCTCTCAAAATATCTTATTGTAGTGTGTTTCACTTAGAGAAAGCACTCTAAAGCCTCTCTTTGGCCTATCCAAATTGTCAGCCTTCCTACTCTCTCTCGCACTTTGGGGCCATTAGTAAGTAAGATAAGGGTTATCTGAACACAACCACTGCAATACTTTAACAATGAATCTGATGACCGTAGTGCCTACCAGTGACTAATGGGTGGGTTGCAAATACAGCATGGATACGCTGGGCAAAAGAATGATTCATATCCAGGGGGGACAGAACTGGAAAGCTGAAGATTTCATCACCAAGGCATGTAATTTAAAATTTATGAGTTGTGTATTTCTCGCATTTTCCCTTTAATATGTTTGAGCTGTGACTGACTGCTGGAAACTGAAACCACAGCAAGTGCGACCCCAGATAAGGGGTTTCCACTGTACTACTGTCCAGAGGTTATCAATCTCTTGAAGATATGCCCAGGCTTTGTGGACTCACAAGCAGCTGATAAATGAAAATGAAAAAGCTTATATGTAAACTGACAATAAGACATATAGTAGCAGACTAGATATTTTCATTTATTCTCTATGAGGGCAAATCTGCATGAGAAGCCAAACTAATGAAAATATCAGTTGATGAGTGTAAAGTAGAAAGAATGGCCCTGACCGGTGTAGCTCAGTGGGTTGGACATCATCCCGCAGAGCAAAAGGTTGCCAGTTTGATTCCGGTCAGGCGCATGCCTGGGTTTGCAAGAGGCAACTGATAGATGTTTCTCTCACACACTGATGTTTCTCTCCTTCCCTTTCTCCCTTCCTTGCCCTTTAAGAATAAATAAATAAAATCTTTAAAAACAATAAAGTAGAAACAATGGAAACACATGGATTTAAAGTGCGGTCTCTTCCTCAAAGGCTAGCTCCCTCAAGGACAACTAGAAGTAGGTACTCTGTACTCAGTTCTACACAAGAGCCGTGCACAGCCTCACTAGGTTAATGAAAATACCCTAAAGTTGCTGGAAGTGTTCCTAAACAGTTCCAAATTCAACTTTCTATTTTCTTATTATTGCTTAGAACGGTTTATCTAATTGTTTATTAATTTCATTCTTCAAAGTTACCTACAACTTAAACCTTCATTGATAAATCTCTCACTTATTCACCTATAATCACACAATCTAATCAACACCAGATAGAAATGCATTTGTGATTATTTCCCATTTAAATTTTCTGTGCTTTTCTTGCCTTCAGTTTTGGTGCTAATTGAAAGAGTTCACTGTATTTCAGTCTGTAGCAAAATAAAAATAATTTGACAACTATAAACTCCCATGAAAACTAAAGAGTAAGAAAAGGAGAGGTAGGGCACCCCAGGCGCCTTTCAGCAACCTTGATTTCTTCAGACCCAACTACACGAAGAAATCCAATGTGCAGACTGGAGCAGCATTTTCTTGAGAAACACACACCAAAACATTAAAATAAAATTCAAGTTTTTCACCTTTTTTTCTTTAATCCTCACCCAAGGATATACCCATTGATTTTAGAGACAGAAGTGGAGAAAGGAGGGGGAGAGACAGAGAGAGACACAGACAGAGACAGAGAGATGGAGAAATATCAATATGAGAGACAGACACTGACTGGCTGCCTCCCTTATGTGTGCTGATTGGGGATTGAACCCACAGCCTTTTCAGTGTACGGATGACACTCCACCCAACCCAGCCACCCAGCCCAAGGCGAAGAACTTCATCTTTACTATTACTATTTAAATAGCACAAGTAAATTATGAAATTAATCCTGAGTCCTTTTTTAAAAAATTTTTATATACATGTTTTACATGTATGTACAATATTTGCTAAACATATATGGTTAAATGGTATAAATTTTGCTTAAGTTGAATACATACCAGGCTTTTCCCATTCTATTTCAAAGCAATGAACTCCATTTCTTATCCGGTTTTTAATAATTCTGAAAAACAAATTCATCTAATAAGGTTCAAGTGTGTAAGTTATTTGGAAGTTTTCAATTTATAGATTTAATTCAATTCAATTTCCATTAATTTTTATTCTACTTTCATAATATCTTAAAGATATTATAAGGAATTACCACATATTCAAAAGATAATTTTATTGTCAGGTATATATAGATCTTATAACTATTAGATCTTATGAGTAGATTGTTCCTTTCATTAGTATTCAGTGTACTACTTTTCCATAAAAATTGTTTTAAAGTCTATTTTGCTTGTTACTTTTGCTACCAGCACCTTGGCAAATATTTGTCCAGTAAACCTTTTAATCTCTATTTTCAAATTTTGTGTAGTTTCACTCTGCACAGGTCCTATAAACAGATTTCTGAATTTTATTTACTCATCGAAGATGATTAATTTAATCCACTTACATTTATTGTGATTACTAACATAGTGGGACTCATTTGTATTTACTTTGTGTTTTCTGTTACCAAGCTTTTTCTTTGCTATTTCCCTCTTCCTCCTTTTAGACTTTTTTGGTTTGATAGTTTTATTTTCCTATTGGTTTGGAAGATAGAGATTGTATTTAAAATTTTAGTGGTTACCCTTATATGTCTACATGAATACTTTGAAGTTTTAGTTTATGATTAGACTGAAATCATCAAGCATTATGCAGATATTCATGTACATATTTTTTCCAGTCACTTTATTAAACTAGCTAAATGTGTTTTATCAATGTTTATCTACATCTTCCCTCTGGATTCACTTTTTGACTTGTTGAATGAAGTACATCATTTAAGAGTGCTTTTAGTGAGGATCTGTGAGTGGTATACTCTTAGTCTTCATACATCTGAAAATATCTTACCAATCAGTGAATACTATTTTAATGATGTCTAGGTTGTCAATTCTTTCCACTCAAAGCTTTGAAATATTATTCCATCTTCTGGCATTTATTACTATTATGAAAGATGTGTATTGATTGTCTTTTCTTATAGTTTATCTTTTCTTTTTTTTTGATACTCTCCCCTAAACATTTTGAAAGTTTCAAACCTTTAGAAAAGTTGCAAGAATAGTACAAAGGTCACTCACATATCTTTCACTGATATTCACCAATTGTGTTTCAGTCCCTCTATTCACTTGATACTTTTTGCCTTTCTGACCCACCAAAATAGTTATCTGGTTAAGTCTGACTATATCTTTCATAAAATTTATTTGTTTAAAAAAATCTATTATCACTGCATGTTTGAAATATAAAAGTATGACAAAGAACTACGTTATCTTTTAAAAATATTTTATTTATCCATTTTTAGAGACGGGGGGAGGGAGAAAGATAGGGAGAAAAACATCAATGTGCAGTTGCCTCTCACGTGCCCCCTACTGGGGACCTGGCCTAAACCAGGATGTGCCCTGACTGGGAACTGAACCAGTGACTCTTTGGTTCACAGTCCGGCACTCAATCTACCGAGCCACACCAGCCAGGGCCATACTGTTATCTTGACTGTAAGCCCTGAATAAGCATTTATTATTCCAGTAGACCTTTCCTCCATCTTTATAAAGATAAGAAAAAAATTTTAGATCATGATAAATTCAAATGGAAATACACAAACTTCTTCATACAATTTATACCTAATTGGCTGTAGTTGATTAGAGTTCTTTCTACCAAGCTTCCTTTCTATCATGTCATAGTGGGTCAAAAGTACCAACAATTTTTCACATGCATAGTGATTGGGCCATTCCATTTTTTCAAGAGTAAATCTCTGTAAAAATAATAAAAATAAAACAAGGGTAAGTATAATAAAAATAAAACAAGGTTTTCTTATCTTTTAGAGACAAAAACACTCAGATGATATTCTTTCCTTCAGAATTAGCACTGAAGAAGTGTCATGGAGAATACTCACAGAAAAAATAATGAGCCTTCCAAGGAGGCATTACTGCATAATAATTCAGCGTGAAGGTTCTTGGGTTGAATGCCAGAATATTTCCCAGATGTTGAGTAAATTACTTAACCTCTCTTAGCCTCAGGTTTTCCATCTCTAACATATAACCCACCACCTCACAGATTATGAAGATTGGTATTACATGCAATGTGTTAAATGTAATGGCAAGTTTTAAATGTTCAATATATGTTGGTTACCATTATTACTACTTTTGTTAGTAGGAATAAGTAATAAGTAGTTATAATTTACTGAGTCGCTCTGTTTCCCTGGCCATTATATTAGGGGTTAATATAAATAATCATTTAATCCTCATAGCGACTTCATAACTAATATCGTTTCTATTTTGAGGATAACTCACATCCAGTGGTGGTACATAGTGAGTGGTGGACTATTCAAATTTAAATTTATGTAACTAATTAAAAATCACAATGCTCTTGTAAGCTACACTACTTTTCCTAACAATGTATGTACTTGACCCTGGCATTTTTGGTCATTAGCCCCATCAACCCAATGTACCCCTGAATACAACATATCTGTACGAGGTGTTTGAAGTGCTTTCTAATAAACAGTGTAACTGTAATCTGTCATATGGTCTGAAAAGTATGGTTACTATGTAGCAAAGAAATGAAAATTAGAAAAAAATGCTGGAAAACACATGGGTGGTCAACAGCAGTCTGTTTCAAATCTCCTCTCAGACCAATCAAAGTGATTATCCCTTCTTATCTTCCTAGTATCCAACTTCATACTGTAAAGAACTTATTTTCAGATACCTGAAACAGTAATAAATCAGGCCTTCGGTGCTTGATTACTTTCACTAATTTATCCTTGTTCAAAAGGAATTCTTCAATAACCTAGCAAGAGAAAATAGGAATTGAGACTTCTAACTTTAAAAAAGCTTCTAAAATAAACACACTTGAGTAATTAGTTATTACCTCATGGAATGGGAATCCCTCACAACTGCAAGCTTTTCTGAAAATAAATTATATAAATGTTATTAATACAATCAAACTCTAAAACCATTTCATCCAGTCTCCTCTTAATGAAAAATGTCCTTGTATAGTATCCCAGTCATCAAGTTTCAGTTTTAATATCTATTAAAGTACTATCTTCTGAGATAGCCTAATGTTTTAACAGAATCAAGAAAATATTTTGTGAAATGTTATTAATCTAGAAATGGACAAAATTCTATGAAAATAATTCAACCACAGGTTTATAAAATAAGTCATACCAGAAAAGAATGAGTTAAAAAACAACACGTACCTCTTAATATTGTTCTCTAGTGCAACCAGCTGCCTGTTGTGCTCTGCCTGGTGCCACTCACAAGGACAACAGCATTCATAATCCTGTGGCTCACAGCATCGACCAGTTGGACATAATTTGCACCCATTACATTCATGATCCTTAGATGAACCTTTAGGGAGATGCAAAAAAGTAGGATTTTCACTGCTTTTTAGAATTATCTTCTACACACACTTTAAACAAATACCACCTAGCACAGCACCTAGCTTAGAGAAGGGTCTCGATACATTTAGGTTTAATAGACTAATGCACACAATAGTAATTCTTAGGGTGAAGTAGATCCTGAGCTATTACTATCTTATGATATTTCTTTGTTTCTCTAAATCCCTCTTCAATCTGAAAGTGTGAATTTGTGACTTGAAATTATACATTCATAGTAATCAACGATGGAAAACTTTGGAATTAATTTGATAGCTAAATGCTAGAAAAGTAGGTTATAGTTATTAGTATTAAAAAAGATTATTTACTTACTAGAATAATTCATGAAATGGTTTCTTTAATGAGAATATTAAAAGAATATGACAGCTAATTACCTCTTATAATGTCTAGCTCCCAGTTACCTGTATAGCTATTTTTAAACTATGATCAGAACATGAACAAATTATGACTGTGGCAGAGGTATGGGGGCCCTCGTTCCCTCTAAAGGGAAGGCATGATCACTGTCAACATTGTTTTGAGAATACGGACAAGCACACATAATTGATATGACCTAAAATTGTCATTTATATGATATCAAGAAACTACAGAATGGAATCTAATTTATAAAAAAATTATTTCTTCCATGATCTCATCTGTAATGTAACAATGTTAATGAAAACATATTAAGACAAATAGATAAAGCTATTAGCTCTTAAAAGTTGAGCTAATATGATCTCTCAATCTCTCCTGAGAGTGAAAGAACCTTTCTACCCTAATATGTATCAGTGACATCTATTTATTTTTACCAAAATAAATGAAGAGAAACCAAGCTACTTTCAATAGTAATGAACAGGTTTTAGAAATTAGTTTTGAGGCACTATTTTCACAAAATAAAAATGCATGATAGGACAATTAAGAGCCATTTAAGTATAAATGTAAATTACTGATAAGTAGTTTTAATGCCATTTTCCTCTAAGATTAATAGCATAATTTCCCCCTTTTAATTGATTTCTACATTAAAAACATAATTTCAACATCTAAGTAACTTGAATTCATAGTTTGAAACTGCACTTATTCTATATTTGCCATTTACATCACACTATTTCATTCAACTAACATTTACTGAGTACCTGCTATGTATGTGGGACACAATTCCTAACTCTGAGGATGACCACTCCAGTGGGGAAGAGAATGTAAAATGGGGAAGAGAATCTATAATAACAGGGATGAAACAATGGGTCTCTGTCACTAACGCTCCAAGATGCCACTCCCTATGTCTGCTTACCTGGATGACGGCACACGGAGCAATGAGCTGCTTTTTTAGTAGCTAGTGGTTGTTGATTAGGGTAACAAGATTTTTCACTCCACTGAGTAAACCTTTAAAAGAAAATGGCTTTAAAAATAAAAAACATCCAACAACAACAACAAAATAACAAAAAGCAAAACAAAGCCCAAAAGGAAAAACCAACAAATAAACCAAGATCACCAAAACGTCATGTTCTCAAATACCAGGTTAATCTGTTCCCTTCCACCTGCCAACTTATTTTCCCTTTTGTGGTAGATAAAGTTGCTCCCCTAGCTGGGGAAGGTCCTTAGTCTATGTATCTCAATTTGAAATGTGCCCCACGGACAGAAGAATTGTAACAGGGGAAGAGAGAGTGTCAGAGAGAGGGCAAGAAAAAAGGAGGGAAAGAGTGTGTGTGTGTATGTTCATATATTCATTGAGCCTTTCTTTAAAAATGATCTTCACTTAGGCATACATGTAGGGAGAATGATTCATATACATCTATTTTTTATATCTTTTCTAAGTGCCAGAAACAAACAATCATGTACATGAACACTTCTGTGTATCAAAATAAGAATGAAGGGCAAAGTATCAAACTAAATAAAAGATTAAGCTTCTGGGTAAGAACTGTTTAAAAATCCAGATCATTTGAAATGGTCATTTTCTTAATCTCTAATGCAAACAGCAAGAATATTACCTGTCTAATGAAAGATGTTAAAAAAATGTATATTACTGCTAAAATGTCTACTAAATAAAAGTTAATTTTTGGCTAAAGTTCCATCTCAACATAAAACTACCAAGAGGATAGTTAAACACTATCATAAAATATAAGTTCTGAATTGTTCCTCTCCTTATAGAAGTTAAAGTTTAATGAAAAACTAAATGATCTCTTCAGCTTACTGTGTGGTAACTGGCACTGAGAGTTAGTATTTAGTTTTGGAATTTGTAACTCATATACTACCAAGGCTGAGTATAAGCTTGCTAACAATTACCATTTATTGCTGCGATTGTAGATAAATAATGGAGCTTCAAAAGTGAATAAAAGGGGGAAAGTCAGTCTAAGTTAATCAAAATTAAAACAACATAATTATAACAAGAAATATAATTTCAAATGTTGAGACCAACATTTAATAAAATGTTGCTAAAATTATAAAATTGCTGAAACTGTTTTAATAAGATTGAGATGTAGTTAACCAAGGACCATATTTGCTTGTTTTTCCTTCTTTTATTATTTTTCACAATTCCAAATAATTCCTGAACTCACCTCCATGCCAAAGTACACCCTTTTTTCCTGGTTTGGCACAGTAACCAATGATAGCAATAGTGAATTTATCAAAGTTTTAGCTCTATCAATAGCTTTACAGCTGAAAGAGAAGTATTATAGGAAAGAGCACAGTGATTTGAAGTTGTCTCCGTGGTCATTCCTTCTTGATTTCCGCAACTAATGCTTCCTTTCATGCACTCCCCATCTCAAACCTAAGTATAGGCCAAGGCTGCTGCTTTAAGTCTTTAGTGCCCTTGTTTTTTCCTTCAGTCACTATATTCTATCATCATTAATATTAATTTTTATAAATCACTGCTTTATCAAGTAAATATAATTCACATGCTTTCAAAACTAAACACCAGTCTGTAAATTTCAATATATTCCATATTTAACTGTCTTGAATTGTTAAATAGTACAGACTAAATTAATCGGAAGTAATGTACTACTAAATATATGGTTATAGAAGGGCAGATTAGTAAAAATTTTGATCAAGTGCAGTGCTACTTATTGCATATATGTAACATGTCAAGCACTTCATAAAAATACATTCAATATGAAGTCTTTTATAATAAAGATAATTTTAAATATAAAATTACTTTAATGTCATATTATCTTTACTTGGTAGTCAAATAGTCTAAAATAGCCAGTGGCAAATGCCAATGGCCATAAATAAGCACATTTGACATTTTACTACTTGTGTTATAAATAATACTAAAAAACATGGTATGGCTATATATACTCTCATCTTTTCTTTGGAAAACTTCAGAATAAATAAAAATAAATAATTTCAAATAAAAATATAAATTAGTTTAAAAACACTAAACCCCTTTTTTGAAAAAGCATAGTGTTTTTGTAACATTCACTATTAAATTCAACAAAAATAAAGTCTAATGTCACAAGAAAACATAATTTTTAGTTACCTCTGAAGTAAACTCTGCCCTTTCAAAATCTGTATAAGCTTTAATGCTTGCTCTTTTCCAATGCCAGGAACCCCCTTTCAGAGAGTGAGAAAATAAATTCAAATGTTAATCACTAGGAAATGAATAAAGTACAGTAAGTCCATTCAATAAAATGTGTAGCTGAAAGAACAAGGTAACTACCTAAAGACAGGAAAAGATGTGCAAGATACAATTGCTGTATGTGCGGTAAAAACCACAGAATATTCTATGGTGTGATCTAGATTTGTAAATTACATAACAATTATATTGTTAATCTATGCAAAGAAAAAATCAGAGGGTTTATACACCAAACCACTGACAGTGTTTATTTTAGGACAAGGAGGAACAGAATTTTAGAGGGCATTCACTTCTTTGTTAAGTACTTGGATAATATTTTAATTTAACCTAACTTTGTTATATTGGTAATCAGAAAAAAGCATGTTCAATTAATATGAACATTTAATATTTAAAAGCCCAGATGTCAAAAGAAAACAAAGGAGAGTTCCAAGTTAAACCTTAACATTAATAACTTAAGAGAATTAGAACAAGCTCCAACCCAATAAATGTATATTCACATGACAACTTGTGGTTTAAGTCTTCCAGTTCCTATCGAAGTTTAAGAGTATGTCTTCACAAGTAGGGCTGCTACAGAGCCAGTATGCACTTGGATAGGCTTACCAGTTTAAAAGTATTCCCCAAGCATACTGAGTGCCTGCTGGCAACGGGGTCTCTCCTGGAACCTGAATCCCCTTCCCAGCTCAGCAGGATCTTACTACTAAAATAACAGCACATGGCACAGCAGAGGGAGACCATAGCCTATGTCTTTGGCATATACCAGTTGCTAGATATTTTGGATATCAACTTTTTTTATTAGCATTTAGCTACCTCTTAAATTTTTTGAAGACAAATCATGTTAGTATATAGTTGTACCAATCCTTAAGTAGAATAATAAATAGATGGCAGTTTTTATTACAAACAATACAAATGTTCAAAATAGCTAAAGCTAATTAGTGCATAATGTAACACTATCAGAGCTAAAGTTGGTTTCTGTGAGTTTGCAGTTTTTTCTTATAGTTAACATTGGGCTGCTTCTAGTATTTAAGATATAATTACATAAAGAAAACAGAAAATTTCTACTTCAGAATTATAATTATAGTGAAATAATTACTTTAATATTATTTATAAGTTGCTTTTCTCCTGCTTCCTTTACTTACTAGTTTAAGAAAATGTTGATTTCTCTATCTGGTCATTGATGACATAAATGAGAAATTAGGGTTAATAATATAACTTCCCTGCTATTTTTCCTTTCTCCTAGGTTTTAGCTAAAGAAAATTATATGTCCTCCTTTTTGGGAATAGAGTATACAGTATAGCATAATTAGGGATTCAGTAAGAATACAGGGATGGTGAGTAGGGACATAATAATGGGACTACATAACAAGAGCTACAATACAAGTCATTTTATATTTTTAAATAGAGTATACAGAATGGAGTTATCCTTGTAGTTCATAATTCATCACTCACTTATTATACCTATTTGTTACAGAGTATATATTGTGCACCCTAAGATACAAATTAAAGATTTTCATGAACAAAACTGAATGTAAGGCTCAGATGCATGGAATGATGAATGGCTTACCCCAATAATCATGTAGCCTAGCAACAGTAATAACACTGAGCATGTGCACAAGCTATAAAGCTAAAGAATGAAAATCAAAAAATAGATGAAACAGTGACAGAAACTAACACTGGCATGATACAAGAAAAGAGTAATCCCTTTATTTCTTTAAAATGGTAACTGGATTTGAATGTGATTCTAGAGCAATGGTTTACTGAGATTCAAGCTGTGATAATAGGTATTATTCTACTCTCATTTATAATATTCAGTGCTACAATGGGCCAGCTTTTTAATGCCACTTGAAATGCTGATTATTTTTGTTACTGAATAATTTATGATGCCTAAAATTATAAATTAGATTCTTAATCATATAACCATATTATATTCATAATTATGCAGATTGTAAGGTACCAAAAAACCCTGCACTATGAATAGTAAATACAATTTTAGCGTACCTTTGGAAGATAATCACAGCCAAGTAGTACTGCTAGTCCAACCAAAGCATCTCTATCCAAACCTATTTGACTCTTGATGGATGACATTGTGTAACAGTCAACATGAGGGTCCTAGAAGAAAGTACAGGTTTAATCTTCAAAGAGTAAATGTTTATGCATTAAACAACACTGCAAAAAATAAATGTGTCAAAGTTGTCTCCAAATGTTTCTTTATTCCTAAACATTTCAATAGGGAAATTATCCTGATCACCAGAATCTTCATAGAATCTAACACTTCAACACCTGGAAATAAAGTCATAGTTTCAAAATGACTTTTAAGTCATAGCTTAAAAATTATAGTATTCATTTTCCCCTCTTTTTGCTTTTTGATATATATAAAAGTAGGTTTTCATCGTACAAAATTAAACCCTGTTAAATGTGTATTACTGAAAGTAAATACTCCCTGTAATTGCATCATCTGAAGTTAACATTATTAACAATGTGGTATATATTCTTCCCAAAAACCCTTTCTTTACCACATATACAAATATTCATTACTAACAATATTTTAAGTAAAAACAGGATTATATAAAAAAACTATTTGGCAACATTTTAACCCACTAAGATATCTGGATATCTTTAATATGAATAACGCCGCCGTTTTAACAACTGCTTACTCTTACATTATATGCACTCCGAGGCAGTGTTTCTCAGTGGGCACACTATTAGCATTTTCAGAGATAACAGAATTGTCTGGCAAGAGGATTCACTTTCCTCGCTCCAATCCACCAAATGCCTATAGTCTCCCTTGCCAAACCTTGTATAGTTACAACCAAAATGTCCCCTAGTAGTACCTCTCTAACCGAGAACCATGGCAGTATTTACTGTTTCCTGTCAATGGGCATTTGGGTTGTTTGTCACATTTTTGTTATTATTGACAATCCTGCAAGTAACAACCTTATATATATCTCCAGGCATATTTGCAGGTGTTTTTGAAGATAAATTACTAAAACTTGAACTTGGAGGTAAAAAATTCCATATGCAAGTTTATAATATATTGTTAAGACTGATTTACAGTTACAGTATATAAAACACCTCAAGCCCTTGAGAACAAACTCATTTCGAAGAGAACTATATGGCAATGCTAACAGAAAGCATATGAAGTACCCACTGCTATGTGTCAGGCACTACGGTAAGCACTTTACAGGAATTTTTTTGACCATTTAATAATCCCTTTTGAAATTAGTTTTTAAAACAAAAGCTGACAGAGAAAGAAAAATACCTTAATATTCATAGTGAAATTCTTGTAAACAGTCTGAGCCCCATACAGGAAAGCATCCCCATCATTGGTGAGGCAGCCGTCCACATAACCACAGGCATTGAGGTAGGCACACATGGCTTCAGCCTCCCCAGCGGCCTGGACCCAGGGAACGCCTAAGCATTCCAGCAGCTCAAGACACTGAAAAGACAAAGCAGATGCCAGAAATCTAAGAACTCTTTTATTTTTATTCTTTTAAATCCTCACTTGAGGATATTATTGATTTTAGAGAAAGAGGAAGGGGGATATAGTGGTGGGGGGCAGAGACATCAATGTGAGAAAGATGGATTGGTCGTCTCCCTTCCGTGCTAGACCCGTAACTCCAACTCGGGGTCAAACCTGCACACTTTTGGTGCATGGGTGGATGCTCCAGCCAACTGAGCTACCCCACCAGGGTTCCAAGCACGTTTTTACTGCTAATTTTCCTCAGTGTTTAATTTACTTTCCTATATTATAAATATTAAGAGTAGCTATTTAGATGTTTTACAAATTATGATACTTAAGAAATAATTGGAAATTTGAACACTGAATACTTTATGGCATTAAAGAATGATTGCTGAACTTTTGTGTGATAACAAAAATTTTATTGTGGTTGTGTTTTTATTTTTTAAGACTCCTTATCTTTCAGACAAAGGTACTGAAATACTGAGTGAAACAATATTATATCTAAGATCTGCTTCAAGAAAATGCGGAAACAGGGGCTGGGGGGAACAGATGAAGTAAGATTGGCTAAGACCTAAGTAATTATTTAAGATCCATGACAAATATTTTCGTGTTGTTTTAAAATTGTTATAAAAAGTTAAACATTCTTAATGTTAAGAATCCGTACATGATTTTAAAAATTAATTTAAAAGTTACTACAAAAAAGTAATAAATAATGAACACTCAGTGTTCGCTGTTTTGCTCAATGGTATCTTAAGACTCTGGAAATATCTTTAATTGATTTAATAATTAATCTCATTAAGATTTACACCTGTAAAACTACAAAAATTCTTCTCACATGATGGCCAACCTAATACGAAGTCTTCCAAAGAAGATGCTATCATACAATTTTGTCTTGAGGCCTTAAAGTTCTCTTCTTTTCCTCACATCATCCCTTCTGGATAATGAAACTCTCAGATTGTGGGAAACTACAGGGATCAGTCATTGTCATGTTCCTAGGAAGTCACATGTCTATGCAGGATGTCCCTATTAATTAGCTGATGCATAAATAATCCTGAATTCCCTTTGGATTATGACTTTAACCCAACTGAGCAGCGTATAGTGTATGTAGTCTTATAGCCTACTGTATTCTTTCTTGTCATGTATAATTCTCAGATTCTATCAGTGGGGAATACTGGGTATGGTGAATACACAAGGCCACTAGTTTGTAGAGACTGACAGAAAAAATATTATCTCTTCTGCTTTAATAGATCAATTACTTGCATGCTATGTTACATAAGAAAAACCTCTGCTAGATGTTGCCCAGTGTGGCCAAGGTTCAAAAAGACAAAGCAGCATGTCAGACAAAAAGGTTAATTTTCAGGAAACGGTTCTGTTACAGGTACTGTTCTATTGCAACATCATAGTTGCTTTGACCTTCCTCTAGACAGAAAGTATCCTATGTAATAAACAAAGAGTTTGAAAGTTATTTCAGGTTCCTGTGCCTGGAACCTGGATTTGTCATTCCAACTCTCTTCAAAAACCAGCAAACAATTTGTGATGATGCTGGTTGTAAGTTTCCATACCCCAAGTCTCTGTCAGGTAGGGTAGATGTGGTATTGGAATAAGACTAATTTGTGTTTTTTATGCTTCTATATAAAAGTTGGCAGTGAATTAGGAGGAAGTAGGGCCTAGTAACTGAGGGTACAGAAATATGAAAATGAATAATGGACAAGTAACACTGAACAAAAATGCCAGAAATACCCTAATTACCACAATAAATGGGAACGGAGCAATTTTCTCAAGAAGAGATGGGCATCTTTTGCTTTATACTGGGTATTTAATGCTTTAAGTAGGTGGACCATGGTTATTTCCAGTAACCTGTATTATATAAAAAATGAGAATCCAGTACAGATAGTCTCTTCAACTATCCAGTTATTAAGGTAGAATAGACACTGATTGAAAACCATTTTTTTTAAATTGCCTGAGAATAAACACTGAGGAAATAATTATTAATTTACTAAGTGACTTTTAAAAATAAATAAATATTTTAACCACAATTAAAAACAGGGATATGAATTAAAAGCAAATATGCTAAAAAGTTTATATCCTTAATACTTAAAGAACTTGAACAAAAAAAAAGTTAAAACCTCAGGAAATAACTGGGACAAAGACATGGTGGCCATTATCTACTGAGGGACTAAAATTAGGTTAAGTGTTTAACCTCACCACTAAAAGACCAGTAGATACTCATTATGTACTTATGTTTTATATGTATAATATAAACAAAGAAATATCTTCGATTTTGAATACTAATATTACAAAGATAAACCTCTCATCATTTAATGTTCTTGTAGGTACACTGAAATTGCTTATCTCATATCTATATTGGTGAAAAGTAATTGGCAAGAGCTACAAAATCATTCCTAAGCTTTGGTCCCTCTTTCCCAACCTTATTTTTAAATCTAAAATCACAAGAAAAAGCTAGACACACAAAAAATGTTCATCATAATTTCACATGTAATAGAAGAACTGAAAAATAAATAATACACACAATCCTAGGGAATGATTTCATAGCCTCACACATGTGCACAATTGGTTATAACAGAATGTGGCAATAGGAAAGTATGGATATAATCCATTAATTGAAAAATCCAGACTTCCGGCCAAGATGGAGGCATAGGTAGACACACTGTGCCTCCTCCCACAACCAAAAGATGGACGACAACAAATTAAAAACCAAAAAACCCCAGAAATGACAGAAACGTGAACTGTATGGAAGTCTGACAACCAAGGAATTAAAAAAGAAACATCCATCCAGACAGGTAAGAGGGGTGGAGATGGGCAACTGAGTGGAGAGGACTTGCAGCAAGGTGGCTCGCCTGGCAGACCTGGCGAGGTGGTGGACTGAGGATTGGGCAGCCCCACATTTGAATGCAGATAAACTGGGAAAAACAAATGGGGAGCAAGACAGACCCACAACCCAGAGTTCCAGTATGGGGAAATAAAGCCTCAAACTTCTGATTGAAAACACCTGCAGGGGCTGAGACGAAGGTGGGAGAAACTCCCAGACTCACAGGAGAGTTCGGGGGAGAGACCCACAGGGTCCTAGAACATACATAAGCCATCTACCCAGGAATCAGCACCAGAAGGGCCCAATTTGACTGTGGGTAGTGGAGGAAGTGACTGAAAACCAGCAGAGAGCAGAGCAAGTGGCTCTGTTCACTCTTGGACCCCTCCTCCACATACAGTGCCACAATGCAGTGACGTGGTTGCCCCACCCTGGTGTATACCTAAGGCTCTGCCCCTTATACATAACAGGCCCACCAAGACAAAAATATAAAAAGAAAATGGCCCAAATGAAAGAACCAATCAAAGCTCCAGAAAAAATACAACTAAGCGACAAAGAGATAGCCAATCTATCAGATGCACAGTTCAAAACACTGGTAATCAGTATGCTTACAGAATTGATTGAATATGCTCACAAATTAGAGGAAAAAATGCAGGCTATGCTAATGAAATAAAGGAAAATGTACAGCGAAACAACAGTGATTGGAAGGAAACCGGCACTCAAATCAACGATTTGGACCAGAAGGAAGAAATAAACAGTCAAACAGAACAAAATGAAGAAACAAAAATTCAAAAAATGAGAAGGGGCCAAGGAATCTCCAGGACAATTTTAAATGTTCCAACATCTGAATCATAGGGGTGCCAGAAAAAGAAGAGGAAGAGCAAGAAAATGAAAACTTATTTGAAAAAGTAATGAAGGAGAGCTTCCCTAATCTGTCAAAGGAAACAGACTTCCAGAAAGTCCAGGAAGCTCTAACAGTCCCAAGGAAGCTGGACCCAAGGAAGCACACACCAAGGCACATCATAATTATATTACCCAAGATTAAAGATAAGGAGAGAATCTTAAAAGCAGCAAGAGAAAAGGAGACAGTTACTACAAAGAAGTTCCTTTAAGACTACCAACTGATTTCTCAAAAGAAACCTTGCAAGCAAGAAGGGGCTGGAAAAAAGTATCTGAAGTCATGAAAGCAAGGTCCTACATCCAAGATTCCTCTATCCAGCAAAGATGTCATTTAGAATGGAAGGGCAGATAAAGTACTTCCCAGATAAGATCAAGTTAAAGGACATCATCATTACCAAGCCCTTATTATATGAAATGTTAAAGGGACTTATCTAAGAAAAAGAAGATAAAAAATATGAACAATAAAATGACAACAAACTCAGTTATTAACAACCAAACCTAAAACAAAAACAAAACAAACTAAGAAAACAACTAGAACAGGAACAGAACCATAGAAATGGGGATCACATGGAGGGTTATCAGGGAGGGAGTGAGTAGGGAGAGGGGGAAAAGATACAAAGAATAAGTAGCATAGATGGTAGGTAGAAAATAGACAGGGGGAATAGTATAGGAAATGTAAAAGCCAAAAAACTTTTATATATGATCCATGGACATGAACTAAAGGGGGGGAATGTGGGTGGGAGGGGGTGTGCAGGGTGGAGGAGAATAAAGAGGGAAATGGGACAACTGTAATAGCATAATCAATTAAATATATTTTCAAAAAAGAGAAAAATCCAAGATAAAAATTATAACACCACTATCCTGGCAAGTTTTAGAAATACATGCATTTGAAAAGAGACAAAATAATAGTAGCTTCCTATTGTTTTCATTTTATTTTATGGGTAATTTATTAACATAAGAATATAAACCATTTTTATATGTAATATATAAGTATATTAAAATATAACAATCAATACTTTTAAGTATTACAAAGCCCCAAGGAAAGCCAAATGTGTATTCAATATATGAACAATCATTGGTCATGGATGAGTGAAGTATGAGTCAATGAGATCTTTGTTCTGCGAATTATTTAAATGGGAAAGATGTCATAAAAGGTAACATATATTGAGTCCCCACTATGTACTAGCTGCTTTAGATATCATTTAGACATTTTCTCTAATTCTCACTACATCCCTGCAAAGTATTATTATCCTCATTGCATCAAATAGGAAACGAGGCAGATATAAATTAAAAATCTTGCAGAACACCTTGGAGTTTCAAGATGCCAGAATCATGGACTTGAAATTGGGTTAGTTTCACTTCAAAATATAAACTCTCTTCTCCATCCCTACTGGCCTTCTATATACAATAAGGCTAGTGAGTATTAAAGAGAATTGTATTATAATCTTTACTAAAGTAAAATGTTCTCTCCAATTCAAATCAGAATTATTAACTCAGATCCAAACACTCACCTCTCTTAACACTGATTTAAAATGTGATCTCCCTGTTTTCTGAGACCATGTTTTTCCAGAATGCCCATATCGAGTTTGATTCCTCTTGTTTATGACATCAGTTTTCAGTTTTGGGGGTTCCCCTTCCATAACAAATACCAACTTTACATCCATTAGTGTTAAATGTGAGATACGAAAAAATAAATTCCTGAAATATAAAAATTAGTAACATATTAATCATATATTGATAGCAAAAGTCAGCATAGCTGTATGACATTAATGGCAAGAATATTAGACCAGTACCTAAAAGGTTACATGCTGTATTTTAGTCACATGATTTTATTTTCACTGGGCTGAGAAACTACTGAACGTTTTTAAGCAAGGGAGATTTATGATTATTTTATTTGCTATGTGGAAAACACTTTGGAGGAGGAGGCTACGAGCTGAAGGAGGGAAGCCAGTTGCCATTTCAGCAGTACAGGTAAGAGATGACATTGGCATCCACAGAGGTGGTACCTCTGCATATCAAGAGAAGTTTACGAACAGATACAAAAGTATGTTTTGAAAGCAGAACTGGCAAGACTTCCTGACAGGCTGGACATGGGCCGAGGTAAAACAGAGAGAGGATGGCTACCGAGTTTCAGTCTCCAAAACCTCCAAGTGGATATGACAAATAGGCAGTTAGGTAGATTGGTCTAGAGCTCAGAAGCTCAGAAGGTTTGAAGCACGAATTTGTGAGTCATCAATACAGACGGCAGATCTAGATGCATTAATATATTTTAAAATCTCCAAACCAAGACATCACCTGCTTGTGCAATCAGACATTTATATTCTAAGAACTTTTACTATACCTGAGGTGGGGCTTCGAGACGGTTCCAATCATTTTTTTGACTGTCTGTGCTTCACATACCCAGAGGCTCAGATCAACTGCAATGGTTTTCCCACCAAGACTATTCAAGTGAATATGCTGCTTAACAGGCTCCAAAATTTGCCACAAGTCATTCACTCCCATTCTCGTTATGTGCAGTTACTTGACACACTTTTCAAAAATTTGCAGAGGACACAGACGCTCAGAACAGGAATTCAAAAATATATTACAAGCCAGTCAAGAATAATTCATAAAGAAAATTCTCCTTATTCTTTCATTAGTCAGCTTTTTTGAATGAACCAAGAACACCTAAAACATGAAAAATGGTGGTAAATGACACACTACAAAATGTGGATGCAACTAACAAATTAAAAGTAATTTGCGTGTCATCAAATATGCATTTCTCTACAGTACTGAAAAATTGTTATCTTTAAATTTAATGTAACTCAAATGTCAATGGTCCCTTATTCCTCTTCATTCTTTCCTCTTTTCAGACGAGATCAGAAGCATTCAGGGTGGTATGGCTGTAGACTCTTTCCTCTTCTTTTCTACATCCTCTTTAGCAGTGACTGAAAATAAAGTTTTTCACATGGTTACCTGAATATTGCATGACATTTAAACAAATAAAAGAAAAACTACCAAAAAAATGGTGATAATTGGCTTTGTTCTAGCTAATAAATGCAAGATGGTTAGAAAAACATGGACGCTGTAAACCATATTTACCTTCTCTACTCCTTGACTTCTATACCTATAAAAGGAACAGGAACAGCTTCTATCATGATCACAAAAAACAAAGGTAAGGACACATACAAACAAGCAAACAAATCAAAGGAAAAAACAAGAGGTTAATGAAGGAAAACTTTGATGAAAGCAGAAAATGCAGAGTTGGAGGAATATGGAACTATCTTTTTAAAAAGAGCATTGACTGGCTTATTTACAAGGTCCCACATGTTCATTGTGAAAAAGTCTTAAAAAATTTTTTTTGTTAACTACCAATGGTTCCACTATCCAAAGAAAACTAACATTAAACTATTTCCTATGTATGTGATATCTGAACATCAAAATTGGTTTAAACTCCACTATTGTAGCCTCTTTGGGGTTTTCTCCCCCAAAGGGGGAGAAACTGTAGGCCAGTTTCTCCTTATTAAACACCTCTATATGTTTTTCTTTTCCTGTTATTTGATAAAAATATCATGCAGAATTTGCAGATTCAGTCTAACTATACAAATACAAACCAGGTTATCATCCTCTGAATAATGACCTTACTTCATTCCAAAAATATGAAGGATGAGAAGAATTACTCTTCAAAGTACATTTCTTTGTGATTATTGTTATTTTAAATAACCATATGCATGTGTTACTTTTCAAATTAAAGAAGTTTAGCCCCAGCCCAGTGACTCAGTTGGAGGGAGTGTCATCATGTATACCAAAAAAGGTCACAGGTTTGATTCCCAGTCAGGACACATACCTCGGTTGCGAGTTGGATCTCAGGTTGGGGCACCTATGGGAGGCAACTGATGGATGTTTCTCTATCCCCTAAAATCAGTAAACATATCCTTGGGTGAGGGTTAAAAAAAAAGTTTACAAAATGTGGTCCTATCTGTAAAGTATTGGGAAAATAAACTAGAAATCTCTAGATGGTTTACTCCCTCCCTAAATATTAAGTGAGCACATATGGATATAGTTCATAGGTCAAATTAAAAAGCAATGTACTGAAAACTCATGAGTACCTGAACATCAAATATGACTTTGGTCTCCTTCGGAATGCCTGGGAATGAGTCCCATGGTCTTAGTGCATATCTTTTCTCTGGCCCTTCTAGCTCTAAAGTTCATTCCTCCCTATCATGTCTCTTAATGCTTGATTACACAAGCTGACTACACATATGTAAACATATAGCAATAAATGAAGATTGTACCCTAGTGCAGTGTTGTTTATGATGGCACATACAAACACACATTTACATATAGGACTGTGACATAGATTGTATTCCTCCTGAGGGTTGTGGGGGAAAATTATAAAAAGGCTGAGGTAGACTTATTTTACAAATTCTAGTTCTCTAACATTTCAAGAACATTAAGATCGTTTTGTAAAAATTTTAATGTAATATATTATTCACTAGGGTAGCCATACCTGGGAAAAAATAAGCCTAAAATGGATTCTATAATGTATTAAGATTTCCACAGATTGAATCCCTTAAGCAAGATAAAGAATGTTTTTTAACCAGTGCTTTTAACTAGGCCCACAAATAATATCTTTAATATAACATTTTCATTACACTTAAAACTTGATTCTTCATATTACTTTAGTTTCTTTCATCAGAAATATTCCTGGTTTAAAGAATGAGCATCCATGGTTATGTTCCAGACCTAGCACGGGCAATTGAACAGGTGTCAGTGATGTCTACCTAGGATGTCTCTTTCATTCTTCTACTATAATATGAACAAAAGACTACAATGCTGTAACAATGTCTACTTAAAAGCAACTGGTATAAATAACATAGGCAACAAGAAAAAAGGCTGTGACAGAATTATGTCAGTTCTCAGAAAGTAAAATTTGAGTTATTAACTCAGAGCTAAAGCGTTCTCTTTTCCACCTTTCCTTTGTTAAGTGACAGTGCTAGAAAAATGTCTTTCATTGCTAATCCTTCTGGTCACCGTATTTTAAAATCCATTTCAGTCTTTCAAACCACTTTGGTATCTGAACCTACGGTACCCATATATCTACCTAACTGCATTTGAAAAAGCCGAGTCTCTTCTGTGCTCCCTGAGCACACGCCTGTAAAGAGTAATGCTCTGCTGTTTCTTCATAAGCATGGAAGAACTGCTGCTATCGTGAAATACTTAACCCCATTTTTTTCTCTAAATGATGGGAATCAAGAGGACATTTTTACAGAAGCCAATCTCTCTCTATGACGTGCCCCAATGAATACTTTTTTCTCTTAGTAACTTGCCATTAATAAATTTCTACTAGGTCTTCATGAATTACTGTAAGAATTTTTATAGCCTTCACAACTTTTAACAAAAAATAATGGATTGGAACTACGCCAAGCAACAATATTTAAAGGACGGGTAAACATGGGAATTGGAAAGTGAGCAGAAAGACTTGTAGGAAGAATATTTGTAGTCAGAGGCAAACTACACAGGAGAGGACATTATTGACAAGTCCCCTCTGAAGACTCTATAAGGAACTTTTCTCCACTCTCCCTCTCTAATAAAACTTACCCCACATCATCTCATAACTCCGCTCAGCTCTGTACTAGAACATTCAATCCCTACTTTTTCTTCTCATGAATGCATAATATGTATCTAACTCTTGAGTCCAATACCTCTTCAAGGCTGCTCTACCCTTAGTCTTTCCCCAAATACCCAAGTGCTTAGGCCAAAAACCTAACCATTTTTAGTTCTCTACCTCCAAAATCTATACTAAATCCCCATTTCTAATGACACTTCCCTAGTATTGCCTGTATATAACTAGAATAGGCTGCCAATCGGCCCCTGCTTCTACCTTTACTGCCCTCCATCCCACATAATCACTGTCCCTTGGAAGCCAGCGTGATACTGTTCAATAACCTAACACATTAAAAACACCATCTCTCTGGCAATGGATAGTGAATTTCCTTAAAGGTGACATAACTTCTGTCACGAGTTAATTTACTTCTCCAAATATAGTGCTACCTCATAGACACTTGCAAAATGCAAAAAAAAAAAAAAAGGATTAATGTAAAATTACATGTGCTCAACATGTAATTTAGAACAAATACTCTTTGATGTAATCTAGAATATTCTTTTATAATAGTGTTTTAGATTATCTTCAGTTCAGTAGCTCTTCGACCTAAGTTGTCTAATTTCCTTTTGAAAACCACTTATGTTCCTTATGAAAATCATTCATAAAAGCAGATTATCAAAAAAATACCTCAAAAGTTCTAAAGGGATAAAACTATGTGAAAACATATACTTAAAGATTTTATTTATTTACTTTTAGAGAGAGGGAAAGGGAGGGAGAATGAGAGGGAGAGAAATATCAAGGAGTGGTTGCCCCTCGAGCACCCCCTACTGGCAGCCTGGCCCACAGCCCAGGCATGTGCCCTGACTGGGAATAGAACAGGGATCCTTTGGTTAACTGGCCTGTGCTTAATCCACTGAGTCACACTAGCCAGAGCTGATATATATATATTTACTTATTTATTTAAAAAATAAACCATAACATTTTAAGAAGGCAGCTAATATAGAATGTTTACTTTCATATTTTATTGTTTTATTCTTTGTTACTTTCTTTGTTTTATTGTTTTATTCTTTGTCACACCAGCCTCTAAAGGAACATTAAGTAGCAAGAAAAGCATGTAAAGTTCCAGAAAGAGACAGAATGCCACAGCTTGTAGGTATTGAAGTACAACTACAAAGATACAAGACATGGTTCTTGCATGAGGTCATGATCAACCTGATAAGGTTACTTGAAAATAAATAGTTCGGTAATAAATTTTAAAATATCACACATGTAAAACTCACCCAAAAGTATGTATAATTTTGCCATGCATTTTATTTTTTAATGGGATGAAATTTGAAATTTTTGTAGTATTAGATTTGGTGAGCCTCTACTCATAATGTAACAATTTTATGGATGTCAGTCTGATTATGCAATCGAGGCATATTACATATACAAAGTTTTGTAACATTCACAATTCTTAAGAAATAGTGTGACATATGATACTTACATGAGTCAACAAAGTTAGAATAACCTATAACAAATAACTTTATCACCTATTGGTGGCTTCGATTTATTTAGTTTAGTAAAAAGAGCACTGGGCTTGGGATAGGAAACCTAGGATTTTGGTCTTGGATAATAACATTGACTAGCTATACAACCTTAGAAAGACTTTTAACTGATCTCCAAAATGAGGGGTGTTAACCAGATGAATTATAAGATTATAAGATTCTGACATCCTTTGAATTCCATGACCAATTTTGGTAGCTTGGTACTAAAAAAAACAAAATACCAATCATTCTATTTCAGGTATTATTTGGTAGAAAGAACATGAATTAGTAGTTTAAAAAAAGGGCTTAAAAACTCACTTCAGGTTAAAACAAAAAGAAATCCTTTGATGTAACCATATGGTGTCCATAAATCAATTTATGCTCCTAAAACTTCCTTAAAAGCTAATAAGCTTTTATTGGTTAATTATAAAACTGAATGAGGTGAGAAGAGCACAGAACCCTGCTAATTCTATTAATGAATCAAATTTAAAGAACATAAAAAGAGGTCAGCGGTTTGACTTATGCAAAAATACACTTTATTAAGCCAACAGTTTTGCGATTTTATTTCAGTTTTAAGCAAAAACATTAGAAAATTTATTTTAACAGTAATGCAGGACTTTAAATTACCTTACTCCCATTTAGATAAAGACTGGGAAATGATGTAAAGCTTACTTCAGTACAGAACTGTAGTGAATGAGATTTCCCACTTAATTTTACTAGTTAATACTGGATTTTTAAAATTCATCAGTTTTATTTTCATATGAATTTAGCTTCATAACATAACCCAGTCTTAATCATGTTATCGATTAATATTTATTAAATGCCTACTGTTTACCAGAAGTTCTTTTATGTGCTGGAGATACAATAATGAAAGATCAAGCCCTGCATTTACGGATCTTAGTAGAAGAAATGAAACTAGAGATAAAAACAATTATAACAATGGGACGAGTACAGGTACACAGGTAAAGAGAGTGAACTAAAAGAGTATATATAAAAAAAAAGAGGGGCCTTAGTAACTCTGGGGCTTCAAGGAAGGCTTCCTAAAGGAAGTGACATCTAAGCAGGCACCTCCCAACGTTTCCCTTCGTTTGCCAACAAGAACCCCTTGGACCAGATGTTGCAGTGTTTTTAATTTAGACCATGTCACAGTTACTGTATCAAGGCAAGGGCCATTAGAAGATCTAATATATATGATTATTTTTAGAGGTAAAAGAATGACTTTAGCGAAAGGAATTTCATTACCAGACATCTGACATTAATTTGTGTGGGGGTGGGCCCGGAGAAGCGGCAAATGCCACTTTTTCCATCTGGAAAGGAAAACAGATTAACTAACGGCACTTGTCTAGATCTGCATGTCATGTGAAGAGTTGAGCAAAGACTGCAGGCGGCTTAAGGTTGGGTAGACAAGAGCTCTGGAAGCAAAGTCACGGCACTTAAGTTTTATTGGTCCCGATATTTATTGAGGGGGTTTACAGCACAAGCAAGCTCGCGCGGGGAAGAACGACTGTATACAAACAACCATATAATGCCTTAAGGTAATTGCTATAATGGAAGTTATTTTCAAATCATGTTAACACCGAAAAAGAGAAACACACCCAGTCTGCCTACGGGGATCAGAGAAGGCTCACCCTACAGGGCCTAGAACTGGCGTGGGAGTTGCCCTTCGGAGTGCTCGAGGGGACGGGAGGACATTCAGGACGTGGAGGCCTTGGCAGAGGGCAGAGCACGTAGCAGCCGACGACAACGAGTCCCTGCCGTCACTGACCCCGGAGGTCAGCGCAGGGGCATGAAGACGCAGGGCCGGCGAGGATGCAGGGTGGCAGGACAGCTTTCCCACTGTGATAACACGGAAGCTGCCGACGATGACTTTGGAGAAGGGGCAGACGCGACGGGACAGAACACAGACCTCGTCCCCCGTCTTTTCCCGTCCCTACATTTCTGAGGACCCAGTGGAAGGACCGGGGTGGTGCCGCCTCTCCAAGGTTCCGTGGGACTTACCCAGAACGCGCTTTCTCCTTGGTTTTGGAAGACGACCCTCCGTCACGTACCAGTTTTGCCTGAATCCTTACCATAGCTGCTTCCAAGCTTCTGAATTTAATATTCTCCTAGGAAAAAAATAAGGAAAGAAAAACTTCTTTCCTTTTCCCAGCTAAGACCTACAGGGCTTAGTACCGTGACCCGGAAAGCTCCTGGAAGCACTTCAAATTCCGCGCCTTCCCAGACACGGTCCGGCCTCTTCCGGGAAGTGCTGTCCCGTGCCCCGACCCGGCCGCCAGCTCCCTGTCTGTCCGCTATACGCATGCGTAGAGCTGTTGCTGGGGCCTCTGAGTAATCTTCCCTTTCACTTAGGCAAATCAGCACCCCCCTACACACCACCCGGCGTCCAGCGGTGGTCGAGCCCAAGCTCCAACCAGTTTCACCCGCCGCCCTGGGGCACTTCCGGCCCCTCCCTTAGCTCACAGTGGCGCGAAAACTCCAGACCGCGCACGCGCGGGCGGAGTCCCGGCGGGAGGTGGGGCGGGGCGCAGGCGCGCAGCGTCCCGGGGTGGGCGCCGGGGCGACCGGGCTCCTGCCTCCACCCGCAGTAGGCGCGCGGTTCCCGGCGGGCCAACGGCGGCCAGCCGAGGCAGAGACGCCCCCCAGGTGGCTTTCGCCCCCTGTTGCACCGCGACAGTCCCGCCAATCGGGTTCCTCTGGGAGACTTCGACTTGTTCGAGGTAGGGAGAGGGTGCGCGCCTTCGCTCTCCCGTGCTCCGGTTCCATCCCCCTGTCACTGACACCTTAGGGGGCATCCCCCAACGTGTGTGGTAGACGCCGGGTCACCAGAGCTGCCGCGGTGACCAGCGTGGTCCCCGTGGGCCTGGGCGGGCTGTCCAGAGGAAAGCTTCGCGCCTTCTCTGCAGGCGGTACGGGTCCCCTGTGCCGCGGGAAACTTGCGGGTCTGCGCTGGGCCCCTGCTACGGGCGGCCGTGGTGGCGAGCGGTGCAAGTCCCGGCTCGAGCTGTGGGACCCCCTTTCCGGCCCCAAAAGGCCCTTTGGCTTTGAGAAGTAGCTTAAGGTGCATCGGGGTAAGGGGGTGAGGTTGCGATCGGGAATTGGTCTCTAACCACGAATCTGATGATCACTTTACCAGAAGCAACTCAAGTATGTTTGTTCAAGAGATGTATGCAGCTAATACTTAAACTGGATTTGTGGTTAAATCCCAGTTTCATGAAAATGCGAGGTGTATCATCTAGGGAAATTAAATTGATGTTTGGAGCTTTTATGATAGCCGTTCTTTCTCCTTTTTTCTTGTGGCGGTGAACTGGAGCAGAATCCCAATTGAGAATTGCGGAACACAGGACTCAAGGGTAGAGAAAGGGCTGTAGAACCCATCGGGCTTGTGCTGATTCCTAGGAAGAGCAACTATTTCTGAAGACAAGTTATGCAAGCGCTTATCACTCGAGTATATTTCATGACTAGGAGATTAAAAGCAAGTGTTTTAAAGACAAGCTATTCTGGAATGTATATTTAAAAAAAAAGTAAAGTGCAAACTCCCTGACCCTTAGAAGGCTGCCGTGTAGTCTTTTAAAATATTTAATACCATTTGCAATGGCCTGAAGATAGCTCCCTGGGTTGGGAGGAATCATGTTTGACCTACTTATATTTACTTTATCTCATTCTATTATTGTATGAAATGTACAGAGTACTAATGTTGAAATGTGTATTCAGAATTTCTTTTCTGGAATGGGTGTAAGTTCTAAAAAGTTTGGTGATCACTAGACATTGTTTAAAGACATGTTTTTGAATAAGACCAGTGTTGTGTGACCCTGGGTAAGTGGGTACCATCTCTTTAAGTTTCAGTTCCTTTTCTGTAATTGGAGAAAATAACGTAATACCTAACTCACAGGATTCTGAAATATATTGGGGGAGGGTAGAATGAAAGATAGAATTATATTTCTGTATGTAGCTATAAGTATTATAAGACATTTACTGAGCCGGGCAAAAAGTAAGTACAGTTGACATATTAAAGTTGTTACAGCGAAAAACAGCTTTTATTCTCCAAAGGTTTAGTTTCCTGAGTGCTTAGATGTAGAATTTTATATAAAACCTGCCTGAATCTTGACTATCACGTTTAGACCAAAGTTGAAAACTTAATCACAGCTGTACTTGGCTTACTTTCAGGAATTAATACATAACAAAACTTACCATTATACTATGCAGTATATTTAACACATATTTAAATGCTGCAGTTCTACCTACATACTTAGAAGTCCCAATGACTGAGGTTCAAGTGTAGTCACTAATTACTGTTAGCATTTTTGATTCACTAGTTAAGGACGTACACATCTTTTCTCACTAAACATACTTTTGCTGATGGCCAAATTCAAGATAATTTCTGTGGCTTTCTTCGCTCCATTCCCCAATCAGCTCTGCAATAGAGTATGTTTAATTGCCTGTTGGCCTCTTCATCTCCGTATCCCAGGAGCACTGCGAACTCAGTGTTTTCAAACGAAATAACTATTATTTATCCTCCCTCCCTGCTGAACCTGCTTGGTCTACTTATAATGACATTTAGCATTAAGTGTGAAAATTTTTTTGAAAATTAAACACAAAATAAAACCGTATAAACATGGTAACATTGGAGTGGACACATCACAATAGAATCGTTTTTTCTAGTTTGGTACATAAACAAAAGATAGACAGGAAGAACAGATTAATAGCCAATTTCACAGCCTAGAAACAGTTAAACTGTCAGGTAAACTCAGTTGTTAATGCCAGGCAGAAGCTGGACATTTAAAGAAGTTTGACTTTGGTTTTTTTGTTTTTAAAGAATTTTATTTATTTATTTTTAGAGGGTTGGGGAGGGAAGAATAGAGGGAGAGAAACTTCATTGTGTTGTTACCCCTCACACGCCCCCTACTGGGAACCTGGCCCACAACCCAGGCATGTGCCCCTACTGGGAATTGAACCAGTGACTGATTCACAAGCTACCACTCAATCCACTGAGTCACATCAGCCAGGGCTGACTTGAGTTTTGACAAACCTGGGTTTGGATCTAGGACTACGAAATTATAGCTATATAAGCCTAGGCAAGTGTCTTCTTGAGCCTCAGTACCCTCTTTTGTAAAGTAAGGACAATTGATAAGGGTATTGAGGATTAAAGGAAATAAAGTATTTCTCTCAAAAGCTAAGTATGTATTCAATAATGTTAATTCTACTCCCCCACATACCCAGTCTTTTAAAGCTCTTGCTTTCATCTCTTCCTGTTATCTCTGATATTGCTGTTGCTTTCTTTTTGTTCAGTGCCCCTTATCTTTTAGACACTGGACTTTTTCCCATATTCTGTTTCATCTCTCCTCTACATTGAGGCCACAGGGATGTTTTTAAAACATAAATCTGAGTGTTTAAATGTATTATATGCAATTCTGTGGTATTGCCCAGTTTTGCTGATCTGGAATTATTTGATGGGCGAACTTATGAATTTTTTAACTTAAATATATTATTATCTGTTGCATCTCATATGATTTCATGATATAGTCCAGTATGCCTGTTTAATTGAGTACATCAAAATTAAGATTATTTAGTGCAGAATGAATGTGTCCATGGTAGTTTTGGGGGATGAAGTAAATAGCCCACCACAGATTTAAAAGTAGCAGCAGTTTGCCTTTTTATAACCACAGTTTTTTTATTGAGAATCCCAACTCTGCTATGTCTGTTCTCCTTGTTATGAGTTCCAACTTTGATAAATGGAAGTATCAATTATTAGATGCTCACAATAAAATTTAAAATCTAGAAATTTATAATTCTGTTAAAATGTATTCGATTTTTATCAAATTTTCTATGCCACATTTGCCATCATGAGCTCTTGGTTATTGATCCATCTTCTTGAACTTATCTTTTATTGAAACCTACGTTTGTTACTGTTCCTGCTTCGATGGCGTTTGGTTCCTGTGAGGGGGAAATGGTATGTTCCTTAATTCTGATATTTTTCTTGTAAATAAATATTAAAAACTATGAAGAGCTTTGTGGATATATTGAAAATCCCAGAGAAGCTTTTCTTCCAATCTTGTGTATTCTAGAATATTTAAAAGTATTTTTGTGGGGAGCGGGGTCTCTACTTACATGTCTCTAGCCTATCGGAAACAGTTTTACTGGTTTAATCTGTATTTAACTCTCAAGACACTTATATCCATTATCATTAAATTACAAAGTGATTGCTATTTTAAAAGGCAGGATCCTTCAGTGTCTGTTAGGTGCAAGTTACCGTGGCAACCTAATAGCAAACTGCAAATCCCAAACTAAGCACACAGCAAATAAAAAACATTGTCGTCATGTAGAGCACTTCCTTCCATGTGGTGTAGAATCTCGCATTCATTGTGAGAAGCTCATCACACTCACCTTTGTGCACTTCCCTCCCCACCATGTGGCTTGAAATATTTCCAAGAAAACCCAATATTTTTGACTATTTCCAATATTACTTGAAAAACTGGTGTTTTCTATGAATGGTGAAATACTAAAATCAATCAGCTGATATCTGAATGCCTGCTAACTGAGCTCATGTATTAGGCAATAATTAAAACAGTGTCTAAAGGGGCATTTAGTGTTGTGAAAACCAGAAAGTAATGTTTCTCCTTCGGTTTTCTGTAATGAATGAATTACCACTCAGTAATTGAGAAGGGAAATAGTGGATGGATGGGAGAGAAGGAAGTATTGGGGGAACCTGGCTTGGTGGTATTCTAGGGAATTTAAGTTAGTGACAAGCTGAAACAAATACACATTGATTCTTGTTAGTAAATGATTTGCAGTATGTATTTTCAAGTTTTGAGTTGTGTAAGAGATTCAAAATAAACATTAAATTTGATGTTTAATGTTTAATTTGACGATGTTGACTGTTATGTAATTGTGGGTGTGTAATGCTAATAATTGTTTCTGAAGGCATTTGTTTAGGTTAAATGTCCTTTGTGTGTTACCTAATAATACCTTTGGAATGATACATAATTAGTCATGATAAATCAGGTACTTCGTTGCCTTCAGGCTAGGATAAAGGCTAAGTTTTTTTAGAGTTGTTTATAACAGTTCTTCTCAAATTTTGATACGCTTATGAACCATCTGAGATCTCCTTAAAATGAAGATTCTGATTCACTTGGTTTAGGGTAGGGCCTGAGATTCTGGCTATCTAGAACACATTCCCAGGAGGTGTAGATGCTGCTTCCTGGTCCTTGGACTACACTTAGCATATCAAGTCTGCAAGTCATTCTGTGGTCAACTTCTTTGCTGCTCTTAAATTTCTTGTTTACTGGCAGTGCCTTGGAATGCATGGCTCTGCATCCTGGACCCGCTTACGGTATCCCCAACAGCAGCAGTTTGCAAGGTGCGGTCCAGGCATCTCCGAGACTCTTCACAGTCTCTACAAGGTCAAAATAGTTTTTAGAATAATAGTAAGATGTCGTTTCCCCTTGTCAATTTCATTCACTTATGACTGTA